AGCCGACGATCTAGATCGAGCAGGTCAACACCTGATCTTTGATTTGGTTCGTCATCCATCTCAGCTGATTTCTTCTCTAGAAAATAACTTAGAACATCAAAAACTGCATTTTGAAATGTTCATGCAAACTGAATTTGATCGATCCCGCATTCATGAAAATTTATGAATAGGACAATGGTTCGTGTTTTCTTCTAGACGTCTGCTGTATCAAATCCCTCTGAACATCCATACACTTGTTAGATTTCAAAACAAGGCCATGATAGTTGGCATTCCCGCTTCAGGTATGAGCTCAACTCAATCAGGGCCGGCCCTGGGGTATGGGCGGTGGGGCGGCGGCCCAGGGCCCAGACGAGAAGGGGGCCCATGATAGAGTATACATATATACTATAGCCTAGCAAAAAATAGGTAAAAGGAATACGAAAGAAAAGAAATTATACGGGCTAGGCCCATCAGATAGCTAGCTAGCTATCACGGTCGATTAGCCAACGCGAAGCGTCAGACGCCGCTAGTTGCCAGGCAAGACGCCAAGACTGCCCGTTTTCCTTCGTAGGTTCATCGACCTTCGTCGGCCTCCTCGCTTCGGCGCCTTGCCGCGTCGCCCTCGCCTCGGCCGCTGGCCCGCCGCTGGAGCTGCACGCACCATCCGCAGTCCGGCCATCCGGCATCCGGCAAGGCGGCAGCGCGGCAATACCTATACATCTGGCTACTTGACCGAGTGCAAACAATCTGAAGTCTGCAACACTGTCCGGCTGTCCATAATCCCTGAAATTCTGCAATTCAATTCTACTTTTGAACGTTTCGATCCATGTTCCTCGGTTCCTGTCCATCTCTCCCAACCCTAATTTGACAATTTTAGTAGTTTATTTTATTCTTTATTTAGTATGTACGTATTCAACTATACAAACATGATTCATCCTCCTATGCATGAAGTTTCAAAATTTTCTAATACAATCTATCAATTTTTTGTCATTTTATGTACATGTCTAGGGTTTCAATCATCCCGTGTATAAATTCCTAATTCTTTTCTTCATGATTTTAGGACATTAGCCTGCCATGTTACCTCAGAAGAAGCAATTGTCGGGTGCTGAAAAAAGGAGAAAAAAGAAAGAAAGTGATCTGAAAATCCTACCACTGAAGGATATCTTGAACAATGTTGGTCTTGATTGTGCCCTTAATGACTTTGCATCAAGAAATGCCCGAAGAAACTTTTTTGAAGCACTGGAGTATTATTGTTGTCGATGGAGTCAGTCTAGTTTGGTTCTTATTTGAGGTAATCATGTCATGTTAGTTTCATTTTGTGGTCTTTTTTGTATTATTGTTGTTGATGGAGTCAGTTCAGATTTGGTTATTATTGTTCTCGATGGAGTCATTTGAATTATTGTAGTCAAATTTTAAACCAAAAATGTGTGATTGAAAATTAGTCTTAATGAGTTATATATAAATCACTCATACACATACATATATATAGTCTTAGGACATAGGGCCCCATGTCGTCGACTTCGCCTAGAGCCTCCCAAAACACAGGGCCGGCCCTGAACTCAATCATCTCCCATTAGTCTTCTTTCTTGCTATCCATGTCTTAAAAGAGTACACGGTTTGGACCCCTCTGCAAAATGAATTTTCAGAACTCAAATACAGGTGTTCAAGTTGCGATTCCAATGTGCAATTCCGATTTGTATTTTCTCATGCTGCATCATCATCCCCTTTTGTTTGCGCTTAGAGTTGGGACATTTATTCTCACTGGCTGTATACTTCTAAGTCTGCTAGATTATAGCCCAGTTAAGCTAATTCTGCCAGTTGCATTTGATTGAAAATAAAATCAAATAGCATGAGCAATTTGCAATGCATATTTATTTGAAAAGTTTGGTTGTATTTGGGAGCGGCCTATTGTTTAGTATCAACGGATGCAATAACAACAATTCGAATTTTGAATGAGAATAATCTCGATGCAGTACGTCAGAAGTTTAATTCTTTACCAGACACGCTGCAAAAATTGGAAGGTTACACAATTAACACAGCAGGGATGCCACAAAATAGATCCAGAAGGATTTCAAGAAATAATCGGCAGCAGTATCCAGGTTTAGGAATAAATTGCATCATCCAAATCGTACAGCTAACAAGTAGGATCAAGCAAGCAGCCAAGCAATTCAAGCGCAAGCAATGAACATAAATGAAATCAGAGAAGGAATAGTAAGATCATTGCCAAACAAGCAACTCAAGCACAAGATTTACCCGAAAGTTCATTTATTCATTACTTAGATGTTACTGTACCAGCAACTTCGTAAACCAAACACGTAACAGTGACTCGATAGTTCATTAAACCAACATAGGACTGATGCGAACAATGAAACAGTTCAAATGAAACGGACACAACGAACGACCAAGCATAAACCAGCAGGTCCAACGCCAGGGCAATTACTGACCACCACGGAGGCGGAGCACAAGGTGGAGGGTGGACTCCTTCTGAATGTTGTAGTCCGCAAGGGTGCGGCCATCCTCCAGCTGCTTGCCGGCGAAGATCAGGCGCTGCTGGTCCGGGGGAATGCCCTCCTTGTCCTGGATCTTGGCCTTGACATTGTCAATGGTGTCAGACGACTCCACCTCAAGTGTGATGGTCTTGCCGGTGAGGGTCTTCACGAAGATCTGCATGCCACCACGCAGACGCAGGACAAGGTGGAGGGTG